AAGATGGAGCAAACAATAATTACTAGCTACTGCACAATGTTGTTGTAACAATTACTTAATGCTCATACAGCTCTTTCAAGATCCGAAGTGCTACCTAAGTGCCAAGCAGTACTATTCGATGATGAAATTATGTATTTTCTCCTTCTAGGTACTTATGAAAAAACACAAACACGCAACTGTATTTGTAATGAAATGAGATACTCAGAAAGTGGGACATTTTAAACCAAGTTGCATAATCCCTTGCCAGCTCAGGAAGATCATTCCAACCATATAAACTTTATTGGATTACACATCCAAGAAAAGAAAAATATCACTCAATGGGCTTTCTGCTGGCAGAATAAGCTTGTCTAAATAAACATGAAAAAGTATCTCAAGTCTTGGAGAGGGAAAACAACATCTCAAAGAAGTGGAAATACTTAAAAGCTCTGGGGATGATGAATCTATAATTTCTGAATATGAAGTGACTTACCCGGCATTGCCTGGGTCCTTCAGGGCCAGAGGTTGGCAGTGGAGATATGGAGGTCAAAGGCAGAAGGCTGGGGACTAGGGAGGCAGGAGTGAGGGCTGTGGGGGTGAGGAGGGGCTCAGGGTGGAGAGTCATTTGACAGGGCTCTCTCCATCTGAGGGGCCTTCTGTCTGCCCCCAACCTCCCTCCCCGGCTACCTAGGGCCTTCTCTCTTCCCCCCAGCACCTCCTGCCACCAGGAACCAACTGTCTCCCCATCTCCAGCCCTTGGCTGTAGCACTGGAGGAAGGGGGGGGGGGAACAGTTTGGGGCAGGTGAGCTACTAAGCTACTCACCCTCTCTGGTGACAGGCAAGACAGCGGAGTTCCAGCCCCAGTGGCCTCTTCCTTGGTGGTGTGGCTGCCCCCAGTGGCCACTCTCGATATCACGTCCCTCCCTTTCCATGTTGTGAGAAACAGTCCCATTCCCAGCACTTCCTGTTTTCTTGGCACAATCAAATCTCGGACCTTGCTTTAAGTTAGGGATGCAAGCGACTAATCGACTATCCGATAAGCAAAAGCTTATTGGATAGTAGACACATTAGTTGACTAGTTGGTTCTTCCCCCGACACTGATTCTGTTACAAGGAGGCAGCAAGGAGAGGAGTGGAGGGGGTGCTGGGGGGGAGAGACGGCTTAAAAGCCAGTTCCCCCCAGCTCCAGCTCCATGGGATGGGACAGGGGCGCAGCAGTGGCACTTCCTCTTTGAAATGTATAAGAGCCCCAGCAGGGACTCTTGTACATTTCAAAATTGGAATGCTGTGTGGAGTCTGGGGTTAGCAGGCGACTCCCTGCTGGCCCTGGGCTCCACGTGGTCTTTCGATCATTAAAATGCACAAGAACCTCTGCTCGGGCTCTTGTACGTTTCAAAGGCGGAACGCATGCTAGTCATTACCAACTAATCAAATAGTCAATGGAAATCGCATCGACTATTCAATTAGTTAATTAATCGATATTTAACATCCCTATTTTAAGTTAGGAGAAGAGGAAGCTGCATACCAAATTTGATGGTTCTAGCTCTGACCGTTTAGGAATAGTTTTTGAGCAGACTCACGGACTGACAGAGGTACACATTCTAAAATAGATAGCTGGCACTGGAGGGGTAAATTTAATAAATCACCACACGGAAAAACAACAAAAGAAACCCAACCCTATTCACTGGATGCCATAGAGAGGTCAGATGCTAGATAAATGGGGCAGTGTGCTAAATATTTATATGCTTTCTCCCTGCCTCTTTGTATTGGAGTTCACTGTTGGTGTTTTAGGTGAAGAGAATGCAAAACAGAGCACTTCCGTTGCCTGAACCACAAGCTAGACACGTTTTTACATTATTAGAAGACTTACCCGGTGCTGCTTGGACCCTCTGGGGCAGGGGACTGGTAGTATGGGAGGTGCAGGAATCAGGGCAGCCCTTAGGGCTGTGGGGGGGGGACATTGCGGGTGTAAGGGGTGCAGGAGTCAGTAAGGGGGACTGAGGAGTGTCTCAGGGCAGGGGGAGATGCAGGAGGTGAGAGAGTGAGGATTGGGGTGAGGAGGGGCTCAGGAAGGTGGGGGTGTCCCATCCACTAGGGGCCTTTGCTCTTTCCTCCAGACTCCTTGGGCAGCAGGGGCCTTTCTCCCTCTCCCCATTCCAGTGCCGCAGCCAACAGACTCAGGAGGAAAGGGTTTGGGGCAGGGGAACTACTTATCTGGTCTGGTGGCAGGCAAGATGGCAAGCCCCAGACTCAACTGCCACTCTCTTGGTGGTTTGGCTGTCCCTAGTAGTCACTCTGCAGTATAGCCCTCCCCTGTGGGCTCACTGCCCCCAATGGCCACTGAGCATTGCATCCCTCCTCTCTGCTCCCTCCCGTTCCATAATACGGGAAACAATCGAATTCCAGGCACATCCTCTGGCACAGCCAAACCCAGACCTTGCTTTAAGTTTGGAGAAGAGGAAGCTGCCTACCAAATTTTGTGGTCCTAGCTCTTTTCATTTAGGAGGAGTTCTTGAACAAAAAGACTCTCAAACTCTAATATAAACAGAGAGAGAGATGAGGCCCCGTAACACACAATTTTCTACAAGTAGCAGCATTTGTTTAAAAAAACAACAAAGTTTCAATAACACCTTCACACACACACCCACACCCCACAACCGTCCGACTCATCTGTAATAACAGAATTCAAGTATATTCTTTCTTGTTTAGACCACATCCACACTACCAGTCTCAATGAATTAACTATGTTCCATTTACAAATATCAAGTTTTTTTATGCAGATGTGCTAGAATTTTGTCTGGTGCCTGAACAAAATTGACAGCCAAGCATTCAGTGCTTTTGAATATTGTTAGGGGTTTGTCTCTGCTCCTTCCTCATTCCTTTATACTTGAGGTTAAATTCATTCATACTATGAATAACACAACATCTGTCAGGACTTGTCTGGGCAAGACAAAGAATTCATTTTAAAAAACTGAAGTGTCTGTGGCCTTATATCTCTGTGCATCTAATGGTGAATCAAATCTAAGTACAATCCTCTTTGATTTGCAACTTCAATGGCATTTAATACTGTCCTCCTGATACTTTATATATATATATATATATATATATATATATATATACACACACACACACACACACACACACACACACACACACCTTATCTATCTATATCTATATCGAGAGAGACACACACACACACACACCATGGGGGAGGGGTATGCAGTTTTCTTAAAAGAAAATACTCATTCAGGCTACTGACACAAACAAGAAGTAGATGGCTGTTTTGAAGACAGGTACACTTGAAGGAATGTGAGGCCTAACAGGGCACAATGAGTTGATGTTCAAGGCCATGTGCCCATGGAAGGATCTGTTCTAGTAACCACTGGCTTATGTACGCACGTGCGCGCACACACGCTCATAAAAACAGGAAAAAAATTTTTAAAGGGACACTGTAGCAACCTTCATGGATCTTGGAAGGAGAAGCACAAGTTGCAAGAAGAGTTTGGAAGGAGCACTAAGAAGTCTGTCTGTATGCATATGGTTGGAATACTAGCAGCAGTTGCTGTCCCTATGTAAACAATTGAATTAATAAAGAGAGAGTTTAGTTTCAGAAATATGAAGTCCTCTCATGTTTTACCCAGTATTTAGTACCTGAAAATGTAGATAACTCAACAATGCCACCCTCTGACATGTGCCCACTTGTTTAGATCAGAGTCTAAATCAGGGTGTGCAAGATACGTCTCATGGACCAGATGCAGTCTGCCAAGCCACTGGACCTGGCCTGCAGACCCCCATGCCAGAACCCTCAAGCACGCAGAAGCTGCTGTTTTAAGCACAGGGCTGCTCTACTTGCCTCTCTGCTCTGGAGGGTGGGGGAGGCTTCGTGTGATCTCCCCACCCTCCACCCAATGTTCAGCTCCTATTGACTGGAACGACCAGCCAATAGGAGCTGAGAGATTGGCCTGGGGGATGGGGAACAGCACAAGCATCTCCCACCTGGAGCTGAGAGCCACATGGAGGGAAAAGCCTGCAGATTTAAACTATATGAGGCTGCAGCAGACAAGGAACCAAGCCTGCTTTGGGAGTGTTGCAGGCCGGGAGACATTTAGGTAAGTGCCTCCCAGCCAGAGCCTGCCTTTGGCACCCCTGCCCCTCATGCACCCCAACTCCCTCCCGCAAGTCACCATCTAAGCCATCTGCATGTCCCTGCCCCAGACCACAACTCCCTCCCAGACCCCGTATCCCCTCCTACGCCCTTCTCCAAGGCCAGAATCCTCTCCTGCTCCCAAACACCCTCCCAGACCCTGCACCCCAATTTCCTGACCCAGATCACAGCCCCCTCCTTCACCCAAACTCCCTCTCAGACCTCACACCCTCTCCTGCACCCCAGTCCTATGCCCTGTGGGCCATTTTGCACCCAACCTCCATCCTTGACCCCGCACTCCCTGCACAGAAAAAGTGCGGCCCTTGGCCACTTTCCAAAATGTTGGAGTGGCCCCCACCAAATTTATTACCCGCCCCTGTTCTAGCCTACAATTGGTCAAATTCAGATACATTTAAAAATATAGGTCTTCATCCTAAGAAAAAAAAACTAGCCTACAATTGGTCAAATTCAGATATATTTTTAAATGTAGGTCTTCATCCTAAGAAAAAAAACCCAAATATTTTATTGTTTAACAAAATGGTCTTCTAAATTAAATTCTACAAGAAAGATAGTTCTAGTGATTATTTTAGAGAAATTTCCTGTAGGTGTGGATATGGAAGTCTTCCACATGATATACAGTACAGAACAGGGATAGAACAGCAGTCTGCCTATTAAGGTCCCAGTCCTACTGCCTCAAAGCAGGGATAATACAAAGGAAGGGATCAATCTACAGTTCATTACAAGGATTTTATACTGTAAAACTTTCCCTAACTTGGGAAAGTAGCCCCTCAGGGGTATAATGTAAATGCAACACAGATGACTATGACCTTTAAAGAGGTCAATAATGAGGATGATTCAGTAGACTGGGGAAATTACTCACACTGGAGAAGACGACTTAATGCTGATCTTTGCTGCTGCTCTTCAGACTATACAGTTGATTAATGAATGGATCCATACAAACATCTGACACTAAAAAACAAAAACACAAGAAGAACTCAAGTTATTAATCAGCACAAAGTTTGAAGTAACTTGTTAAGCACACAACTATCAGATACAACACCGGCTGAAGAAAAAAAACAACACTGTGGCTATGTCTACACTGGCGGCATCTTGTGCAAGAAGTCTTGCGCAAGAAAACGTCCACACTGCCATGTGCGAGCTGTGCTTTTGTGCAAGAGCTCCCATGGCAGTGTGGACGCTCTCTTGCGCAAGAAAGCTCTGACGGCCATTTTAGCCATAGGGCTTTCTTGCGCAAGAAATCCCTGCCGAGCATCCACACTGCCATGGGAGCTCCTGCGCAAGAGGGCTTACACCTGATAAAAAAAGAGCATAACTCTTGCGCAAGGAGCCCTCTCTTACCACGCCGTACTGTAAATTTCTTTGCGCAAGAGCAGGCAGGCAGTGTGGACGCTCTGCAGATTATTGCGCAAGAACGGCCCTACTTGCGCAAGAAGCCGCGAGTGTAGACATAACCTGTATGTATCGTGTAAGTGAATATCAAAAACAAACTAACGGGTAAGAGTAGAGAAAGAAATGCATATTGGAAATGAGTTATTAAATTTATTCCTAATTCTTAATAAAATTTGTTCCTACAATTTCTATTTATTCCATGGCCCTGATTCTTCTTTCCATTGGCCAAGATGATCAAGAACATGCAACAAGGAAAGGAGAAAAAGTGCATAGCAACAGGCTCGCCTCTAATCTTGGGAGTCTATGGAGAGCACACCACAGAGTTGGGGACCCATAAAATCAGAAACTGAGAAAGTCAGAAGCAAGCATGCTTCCTTGAGCCTCAGGTGAACTTTCTGCTTGAAGCAGCCATTCCATCCCCTCACACATTCTACCCACATTTGCAATCAAAGTGAAGCCACTAATATTTCTCCATTTCTCTTGGAAACTCTACATTCTTACAAACGTGGAAGCAAAGCACAATTAAGAGGAGAAGAATTTAGTTCAGTGGTTCCCAAACTTTTGAGGCCGCCCATGCGCCACGCACTCAGGGCCAGCATGTGCTGTGCGCCTGGGGCAGGGGTTGCCCATGCGCCACGCACCTGGGGCCGACCCCGCGCATATGCCACATGCCCAGGGGTGGGGCTGGCCCAGATTGTTCGGTGGGCGCACATAATTGCCCCAGCCAGCGCCATGGCGCCTACGGGCACTGTGTTGGGGACCATTAATTTAGTTAAAACAAATTACATGTATGAACCTTCCTCCTCCCCCAAGAGGGGAATGTAAGAAACAGTAAATGAGACATGACTTTGCAGTGAGGTATAAAAGGAAAAAGGTGTGTGTACTTTGGGACTCGTATACAGGCAGTCCCCGGGTTACGTACAAGATAGGGACTGTAGGTTTGTTCTTAAGTTGAATTTGTATGTAAGTCGGAACTGGTACATATTGTAGGGGAAACTCTAGCCAAACATTTCTCCAGAGCTCAGTTTTATTCTCCCACACTTCACTTCTCTCAGTCCTTTATTCTCAAGCTGAGGTGTCTGCTGAGAAAAGCCGCTCCGCGTCTCCCTGGTCTGCTGGGGGAGGGGGGGCGCTAGCTTCGCGTCTCCCTGGTTTGCTGGGGGGAAGCAGCTAGTACAGGGTTGCCTCACCCCGTTTGTAAGTAGGGATCCGATGTAAGTCGGATCCATGTAACCCGGGGACTGCCTGTATTGTAAAGTTAACACACATCACTGAGCAGCAGGGTGTTTTTTTCTCTCTCTCCCCCCCTCTCCCCCACATCTAGATACTTCAGGTCTGGACTCCATCATAAAAGAAAAACGATGAAAAAATGAAGGGATCAATTTGAAAAAAAAAGAAAAAAGAGGATAAAGAAAATACAGCTTGACTGGCTGAGGTAATAAGGGATCAATTTGAAAAAAAAAGAAAAAAAGAGGATTAAGAAAATACTGGCTGAGGTAACGTGGCGGCTGAGAACATGAGAGACAGTTTGGTAATATTCAAAAGAGTAAAAATACAAAGGAGTGAAAGATGTCTAGTGTAGGAAAATTTAAACTGAATTCAAGGAAAAACGGTCAGTGAGATGTATTAACTTATGGCATAGTCTCCTAAGAGTAGTGGTAAAAGCTCATTGGCTCCATAAGAACGGCCAAACTGGGTCAGACCAAAGTCTGTCTAGCTTAATATTCTGTCTTCTGACAGTGGTCAATGCCAGGTGCCAGAGAGGCAATGAACAGAACAGGTAATCGTCAAGTGATCATCCCATCACCCATTCCTAGCTTCTGACCAACAGAGGCTAGAGACTCTATCGGTGCCCATCCTGGCTAACAGCCATGGATGGACCTGTCCTCCATGAATTTATCTAGCTCTTTATTAATTCCTGTCACATTCTTGGACTTCACAAAATCCTCTGGCAAAGAGTTCCACAGGTTGATTGTGCATTGTACGAAGAAATACTTTACAAAATCCTCTGGCAAAGAGTTCCACAGATTGATTGTGCGTTGTACGAAGAAATACTTTCTTTTGTCTGTCTTAAACCTGCTACCTATTAATTTCATTTGGTGACCCCCTATCTAGTTCTTGTTCCAAAATTCTTTTAAACTAGAACGGACAAAGGTTAGGAAACAAACATCAGAAACAATTCTACATTGGCAAGGGGTTGGGCTGGATAATCTAAATAGCTTTTCTAACTTTAAAGTTCTTGGATTCCTAAATTCCTTTGATTCCTAAAGGTCAATTGTATTTTTAATGCAAGATACAAGCACTTTCTGTACAGTCAAAGAACTGTGAAATCATCAACTAATGAACCTACCAAACCAGAAGTTAATTTAAAGAAAAAGAAAACCCTCACACACATTAAATTGCTCTGTAGATCCATCTTTGCACTGGTGGGAGCTGGCCAGGACTGCTAACATCTGTCATAATGCTGGGGCACAAAGACAGTTTGTCCAGATAAGGTGACATACAGATTCAGGCCCTGATCCTGCAAAAGGTCACACAAGTGGCTCCTTGCTCTCAAGGCAGCAAGAATCTACATGGGCATAAGAGATTCTTGTTGAAGCAGATACTGTTGCAGGAATAGGGCCACAAACTTTTGAAAAAGAACAATGGTGTTAATTTGAGCTCCATTCACCAGTGTTGGGGGGGAGGGGGACTCATTTGCCCGATGTAAAAGGGACAAAATCTGGGAGGTGGAAAACATAGGTGAGGATTCTAAAAACAGCACTGCAGACACATAATTGCAGACAGCTAGGGAAAAAGTTACTTGACAATGTTATTTTGAGTGTGTCTAGACTAAAGCAAAGGACTCAAATGGAAAATAATGTAATAAGGAAAAAGATCTCCTCGTCTCTGCTATCTTAATCGCATGTAGTAAGCTGATGGTAAAATGCTCAAGCCTCATTAATTGGCAGGATCTGTCACAAGGTTGTGGCTTCATATTGACAAGGCCAAACACAGTAGCGAGTCAGAGGGCAGCACAGTAGACAGTGATGTTGTGTGCTGCCGGACAGGGCCAGCAGCTAGCTGACAGCTGAAATGAGCTAGCCTGACCATGTGGCAGGAAGACTAAAGACTCAGGAAGACAGCAGTCCATACAGGGGAGTAAGAGTCTAAGGAGAGGAAGGAAAGTCTTCCCCAGTGTGTGAGGTTGAGGTTCATAAATTTGCTTTAGTCAAGCTTCCAATTGGCCTTCACTCACTTGTGCTAACTGAATCAAGGCCACTCTGTCCTTTTCATCTGTTGTAGACTTTATGGAGATCGGTCTTAAGGGAAAGAACAACAGAATGTGCTGTCAGGGTGAAGCTTTTTCTGGTTATGCAAAGTCCATCCACCTTATTTATTTCACTTTAATAAGGAGAGCTGCTTTCGCTCATTTCTACCCTGAACATGGCGCTTGGGTTAATTTGTTCTTCCATCAGTGGAGTGTCCTTAACATCTGTTTATAAACACTGTCGTTATTTCTGTCTCTCTTTCACAGGGCTATTTCTGTAAATCAAAGATGTTCTTTGTACTCTGGTATGACAGAAAACAAGCAGCTTTGGTTATTTCCTTTTCAACAGACTTAAGGTTGAATGTACAAAGTCTAGAGTTCTAGCCGCTGGTACGATCGCTCACTGCTTTACAGGAGGAAAAAAATTAACACATTTTGCATAAAGGAAACCTATACTACATTGTGAGCTGTTACCACAAAGATGAATCTGAGCTTTTTAATTTTATTTCACAATAATGTGTGTGCCTATCACAAACTTCAAAAAAAAATTTTCCCTCTTTTAAACCTACATTAATTTTATTAATAAGTCCATACACATTCCTCAGAACCCCTTAACCCAGGGGTGGGCAATAATTTTTGCCCTGGGGCCACTTCAAAAATTTTTGAAGTAGCCCCGGGACACTCCAGAAGGGGCTGGGCTACTCCCCCCCCCACCCCAGATATGAATGGTCTGGGGGGTGAGGGAGCCCCTTTTCCCCCCTTCCCACTAGGCAGCCATGCCCTGGAAGAGGCTTGGCATGCTCTCCTACCCCCAGGCCAATCAGGGCCTGGGGAACGCATGAAGCCTTCTCTGCCCTGCCCCCGCCTGGCGAGTGATGCTTCCAAGTGCTGTGCGCTGCTCACAGGGTGGGGGCAGAGCAGGGAAGGCTTCGCGCACTCCCCTGCCCCCAGGCCGTAACTGGCCTGGGGGCGGGGGAGCAGCAGGGCCCCCATGGACCGGATCTGGCCCATGGAGGCCCTTTTCCCCACTCCTGCCTTAACCTATGACAAGTGGTCTCAGAAAGTACATCCCATTACCACCTTATACTTTTGTGAGGTGCCTGTTTTTAGAGATAAGCCCCAAACAAAAAATGTAATATAGTTCGACATGCCTGGCTGTGATCTTACCTCAATATTTTTGCTAAAGTAAAAACTGAAGATTTCCATTGCTGGTCCTTGGCTAGCCACTGAGATCCACAATCATCACTACCGTTGAAAGGAGATGGCTGATCAACCTGCCATGCATTCAGCCTCCTTAACATTCCAGGAG